CTAATGAAAACATACCTATGAAAACCGGACCTTTAAATAATTACCAAAGACAGTGAGAAAGAGACTGGTATCCACAGTAGTGTTAAATACATGTAGCCAGGCGAGACAGACTCACCTGTATCATGACATTGCAACAGCTCATCTGATGAGCTTAAGCTGTCTTGGTCTCTGAAAAATATCTTTCCGTCATTGTTTGAGCTGATTGATGTTGTCACACTGTGATAACTAAAACTGGGTTAGTAATCTCTGAGTTTCTCCAGGCTAGACTTAAATTACCAGAAGACTTGGGGAGTTTGCCAAAAACTGCAGGTACCTGGGGCTGTAATTAGTACTGGGTGGCTGACATAAGTGCTGCAGATGGGATTTAAATCACTGACTAGTGCAAGTAATATCAAAATCCCTTTAGAGAAATAAATCCTGTCTGAGTGGGGGTTTACACTAAACTAAAGCCAACACCTGCCATATTTAATATACAGTGCTATGAAACTCACTCCCTCGTCATTTCAGCACCACAGTAGAGCCTCAGCTGTATTATACTAACCTCTGTCTGGTACTCTGGTTATCTCCTCCACGCAGCAGCTCGTCCTTCTCCACGTTGTCTATCGCTAGTTTACAAGCCAGGTTAGATTTTCTCCACGCGGTCTGGTTACTGGAATCCACAGAAAAGATAACACACACAAACAAACATCAAGTTTTCTGGATTTAAACTGGTTTGTTGTATCAGAATCTATATTTTGTACATGCTGTTTAACCCTGTGAACGTCAATTTACTACTGCCTCTCAAAGAATTAGCCAATTGGGAAATTAGCTCCAGATGTGGATGTACTGCACATTTTCTTTTTCAGGGTCATTTAAAACTCTGTAGGTGTCAAATATGATGCTCATCACAGAACAGAAATCCAACTAATCAGTCAAATCTGTGTGTTTTTTGGTGCAACACCAAACCGCACATCACGTCACCTTTCTGAGGGACAACACCTACAATGTCGTAAACAAAATAAATTACAGGCTTTTGCAGCCTCGAACCCACTTCAGGGTTGATAATAAGAATAAAGTCAATAATTGCTGCCATCTGTGTTTGTGTGTACGTCGACCCACCTCAGCATTTGCCTTCGCTGGCTATCTGTCTCAGCCTGGATGGCCAGTCTGTCCGTCTCTCTGTCCTGCTCTCTGGCCATCTGTTCCAGATCCTGACGACGACAACAACAATAACAACAACACATCAAAATAAACCGGCTTCAGATTTTAAACAAGAAATCTGTCAGATGCAACACCATGTGCATGAGGTGTGAGGACCGACCTGTATTCTGAGTCTGAGCTTGCAGAACCTGTCTTTGACCTGAGAGTTGAGCTCCATGAGAGTTGACTGAGGTCCGGGGCAATCCCTGATGTCCTGCAGGTAACACACACACACACAGCGTATTCATGGTTATATAAGTTTGATCAAGGTCTACCTTAGGGGTCTGTCTGAGCAAAACACTAAAACACAACACTGAAGAACAATAAAACTGTATGTTTTTGTACAACTACTGCTCCTCCCAGTAAAATATATATATTTTTAAACATTGTTTTTAAATGTATTTGCGACAACTTTTGTTTATAAAACGTGAAATGAATGGATCACACGTCTTATTATATTTATATAAATGTAGTTATATTTATGTATATATTATGTTTAAATCAAATAAAAAAAATACATATTCATTACATTATATTACTTTTATTTAGTAATCATCTACCCAAAGTAACTTATATAATTTATGTTATGTAAATATTTTCAAATATTTTAATCCTAAATATTCAACTAACTGATTTATGGATTCGTCAATTAATCGTTAGGTCAATAAAATATAAGACTATAGTACAATAAATTCTTAGAATCATAATTATGAAAACCTCTTGCTTCCTTATTTAAAGTTTTTTCTAACCAAAATCCAAAGATAATAAGTTTATTGTAAAAGAAGACTAAGAAAACCAGCAAACATTAACAATTGATGAGCTGTCATTTTTTTTTACATTTTGCTTCTAATATTTGTGTAACTGATAATAACAGATCAGACCGTCAGCACTGACTATATATATAATAAAGTTAAACAAAGACATTATCACAACAATGAACGTTTCCTCCTTTAAAGGTCTTTTACAGGTTTAATTGTTCGCTGTGTCAGACCTGTGTGATGCCTTCACGGACCCCTCCAGCGCAGATCAGACACCAGCATGAGGAGGGAAAAACAAATGAGTAGACAAAACATATGTTTTCAATTCTTACCTGAATGAGAGCCTTAATTTCCAGGTCATATTTTATAATTTCTTGTCCACAAATTCGGACGTGGACATCCGCAGCAGACGCCATATTTGTTTTTGTATGGCAACCCTGGAGGCCCAAAAGACAACGCACTCCGCTAAAGGCGAGGGTTGCGACTGTCAGAATAAAAGCCTTATTATGTTAACGTATGAAAGAATAATTATTCATTTAAAAAAAGAATTTGTTCATTTTTAAATGTATGTTTTGTATGTTGTTGATCTTTGTTTATTATTTGTATGTATATTTATTTTGGTACTGCTGTTTTGTTTTGCTTGTTAGACATTAATGTCAGTTTCCTGTTTTGTGCTATTGGGAAGGTTTTATGAAAGTGGGGTAGGGGGTGGGACACAATGTGTGACAAAACTAAGAAACAGTGTTTACAAGAAAAGAAACAGAATGAAATCTCTCCTCAGATCATTTGAAAAAAGATTTAACATGGCTTTTTCATTAAAATACGTATGTCTTTCTCGGAATTAAATAGTGATGTGGATGGGTGCCAAATATTTTGTTTATTTGGTCCTCAGTTGATTGTTTGTGTAACATTGTGGTTTACTTTGGCTTAATTATTTCACTCAAATGGTTACAAGGTCAAATTAATATTATCTTATAATATTTATATTTATAATAGTTTATTAATTGTACTTTTTTTGGATTAGTTTCCTGGGATTTGTACTGTAGTGCTATCATCAGTGTAATCATTCTTCTGAACCGGTTATCCAGTATTCTGGTATTTTACCTTTAATTCTTGCTGCTTATTATATATATAATATTTATATTAATTATCATATTATTCTTTACAGTAAGTACAATAAGTCAGTGGAGCCCACCCCACGTACTGGGGGTGCCCGGGTTCGAGTCCAACCTGTGGCTGCAAGTCTTACCCTCTCTTTCCCCCCATTTTTTGTCTCTCTTCAACTGTCTCTGTACATTAAGCTTGAAAAAAATAACATTTAAACACATTAAATTTCAGGTATAATATCCCACAGACCAACAACAGTGAATTGATCCTACTAACAACTACTGTCTGTTCCTCTGTCCCATAGACCGTTACTGAGGTCACACTGGGTGAAGATGAGCACTGTAGCTTATGTTAAATCAATCCCACACACAACATCATGGTGACATAAATACTTACTAAAGCACCATATTATACTAAAGTAAATCTTATTTGCTTCTGTTTCTCCAACCAGTTTCCAGTAGGAACAAATCGATTTGGGGCTGGTTGTTACAGACAGAGAAAGTCAGACAGTATTGAGGAATGGATTAAGACTTTGTTGGTTTGGGTCTTTTCATAGGATTTGTTGACAATAAAGAAACAGCAGATGTATTCTTTAAGGATCACAGCTAACCAACCTGCATTGATCGCTCAGCAGCTGGTTCTCCTCAGGTGGATAAAGACTATGTGACTGTCTCAGTAACACTGCTTCTCACACAAGACTTAAGAGGAGAGTTTCATCTTATTTTCTAAAACTGGATTAATCCCCAATAGTGTGAATAACGCATTAAAAGGTATAATCACACAGTTACATCAACCAATCAAACATACAAGAGTCAGGATGGGGTGCTAATGGTTTTATTATTTTGATATTAAAATCAATAAACATAATCAGACTATTGTGGTTACAAGCAGAGCTGTGGTACCAACTCCCGGCTGATACGACACAGAAAGAATGATTTAAAAAAAATAATAATAAGAAAGAAAGAAAGAAAAAGAGAGAGGCACAATAACACAACAGAGATTCAGGGCAGGTGTCCGCAGGATGTCGAGCAGCCAGAGACAAAAACTGTCAGAAGCTCTGAAACAGAATGAGTTGTTACAGTACAAACCAAAAAACAAAAACATCTTTTAGATTTCCATGCCTGTGCATAAAGCCACCCACTGTGCCTCAAAGAAAGAAAAAAAAAAACACAATGTAAAACAAAAAGAAAAAGTTAGATAAAACAAAAAGTATAAACCCAGCACAACATTTATTACACAACATAAATATAACAACTGTCAAGATATTGTATTCGAACAGGCATATATGTGAACTACAAATATAGACGTCATTGCTAAAGAGAGGATCAAGTTAGTTTCAGCAGGATACACTTTCTGCAGGTTTTGCTTCTTTATGAAATAATAATCACCAAGAGATCTATTGTAGAGCACTTAGCATTGAAGTACAGCCTTCCTACTGAGACTGGGGAGAGGAACACACACAGGACTAACTACAGAAAGATCCCATGCTGTTGATCTAATCAAATAAGTTACCATACAAGACCAGAAGCATCATAACAATGGCATGTAGCTGTGGAGCTCAGGATGACCGATACCTCCCACATCCTCTACATGTTTGGAATTGTATGGATTTCCTATAAAATTGTCTGTTACTGTTTGTTGTTATTATCAAAATTGAAAGAAAGAAAAAAATAATAAAGAAGAAGCAGAATAGATGCTTTAGGATAAACATTTTTCTTGTTAAATGTCTCTCGCTCCATGCATTTTGGCAGGTCTGGAGGGAGATGTAAATCATTGCAGTGTTGAATGAGTTGGACATGTGTAGATTTGGAAAGAGGGTTTTTTTTTTTTTAGTTTTTGTCATTTTCTGCAGAAGAGTCAGTCTGCAGAAGAGGAAACGAACCCCTTCCTCATCATTCTTTGCAGGAAAGGGGGAGGGGTCTCTGCCCACCAGCCTTTAGTGACCCCTGGCTAATCTCAGGAACTCCCTGACAAGACAACTGCGAACCAAAGCCCTTCTGAAACATAAAAAAAAAGCACCCAGAAGGGGGCAAAACATCTCTGGCGCAGTGGTGAAGTTTTCCCAGAAAACTGAGCAAATTTTTTCAAAATTCACCCACCAAAGTTAGAGAGAGAAGGCGAGCCAACTCCTAACCTGAGCTCCGAGGCCGTGGAGCACCTGATCCTCAGTCCAGAGTCTTGACAAAAGAAGAGTTGTGTCAAGGCGAGGCGCTCCGCCGACTCAATGAGTCTGGAGCCTGAAACCTCCAATGACAGAACCCTTCATGGGCTTCACAGACGACGGTGGCTCAAAGTCACAATGAAACTGCAGAAAAAGTATAAAGTAATAAGATACTGAAGGCCAGGAAGGTAAAAACAGACAGAAATAACTACAGCCACTATGTGTCGTATTTTTGTGTGAGTGTATCATCTTTAAAAAGTTTTTTTTTTATGGAACATTTTATTTTTTTAATGGATAAATCTGAAGAAAAGGTCTACGTGTTACTTTCAGACGATTTATCCACACAAATCTGTAAATATCTCTGTTCACACTAGAGAAAATGACTAAATCCCTTGTTCATTTTTGCTCTTTTTGTGAATCACAGCCAACAACTGGAGTCTCTGGCAGTTGCCTGGCAACCTCACAGCGACAACACAACTTCAGGAAGTCACTGCCCCGTGCCAAGAAATAGTCTGGCGCATTTCTACAGTTTTATTTTGTGCTAATTAACCAAATAAAACAATATATAACATGTTCATCAGTGAGCTTTAGAGGTACTGGTAGGTGGATGCTGTTGAACTTTGGACAGTCAGGCTTGTTGTTTCCCCTTTTTCCAGTATTTGTGCTAAGCTAAGCTAACCAGCTGCTGACTGTAGCTTCATATTTAACGTACAGATATGATCGATCTTCTCATCCAACTCTAAGCTAGAAAACGAGTAAGCGCATTTACTGAAATGGTCAAATTTTATATTCCTCTGAGGACAAGAGACAGTGCTGTCTTTGATGAATGTCGTTAGCAGAAGTAACATGGGTCATATCCATATTAATTGCTGCTCTCTTCTTTTTATTTGCAATTCTTTCGTTTTAGTTGGTTTCTACTTTACTAATCTGACTTTTTATTGTCAAAAGACTGTTTATTCGTGGGTTCTTTACTGTGAAATTAATATTTAGTTAATGATTGTCTTTATAACCATTTATATCTCCAGAACGCAGAGGCAGGATTGTACAAAAATAGTATTTATGGTACTTGACGAGGCAATATTACACCTATAAGTAAATAATTTATGTACATTTATGTAAAATTAAATGTAAATAAAAAAATATGTAAGAAAAGTAATTTCTGGTTTCATTGTGACTTTGATTCATGCCTGTGAAGTCTCTGACTCCGGGTAAAGCCTGCTTCAGTGGAAAAGCTATAAAGTCTAGTTTCAACAAACTGTCTGCTTACATGTTAATTTATAGGACGAAACAAATAAATATCATATAAATGGTATAAACACTGGGATCAGGGAAAAAGGCATTAAAATATAATTTAGGAAAAGGAAATTCAAACGTGCAAAACTTTTGACAGAGTCAGAGCATAAATATCAAACCATAATATTACTTTAAAAAAAAGAAAAAAGGTTTAAACACATAAGCAGGACAGCGGCCATAAAAGATACAACATTCATGATCTTTCTGGATCCTGGCGACAAGAGTCTCCCTCTGTGTTCTAAACAATGTCTAACAGGAAGTAGAACAACAGGAAAAAAGCTCCACCAGACACTCACATCTGTCTGTATGATCCTGCTGAGGAAGACTAGTCTACATTCATCAGCAAAGCAGCAGCAGCAGAGTTATACCTCGCTATGTCAGCATACAGCAGTGCAGCAGTCAGAAACACGAGATTGACCAGAGTCATCAACAGAAGGAATAATATGGCTAATACAGCTTATTTTAACACAGCCATGTTAGCACCCAGCCACAGACAGATTAGCACCACAGTTTACCTCCATGCTCAGTTTGTCGCTTCATTCGCAACCAGCGACTCAGTGCCAACACTGACTTCAAGGAGGGTCTGGCACTTCATATTAGCAAAGTTAAGAAACGGAAAAGTTCTGTTTTATGCTTTTTTGTTTTTGTTTTTTTTTGTTTTTTCTTTCTCAAAAAGGTCAATAGGCAGCAACACAGTGCTCCATGTCAAAACCACTGAAGAAGAAGAAGAATACATTGTAATTGACAAGGTAAAAAGCAGGCCCAGGTCTCCCTCTGCCTCAGACACAGTGGAAGTTTGCTCTTCTCTACACGGACACACCAGCAGTGATAGCAGCAGCAGCCAATACAGAAAACACAATAACGTGGCGTAGTGGGCAGAGAAAGA